AATTTTTTTAAGATTTTTTTTTTCAAGTCAGGGTCTCATTCTGTCACCCACACTGGAGTGGCACGATCATGGCTCACCACAGCCTCGACCTCCAGGCTCAAGCGATCCTTCTGCCTCAGTCTCCTGAGTAGCTGGGACTACAGGCATGTGCCACCACACCCAGCTAATTTTATTTATTTATTTATTTTTAATTTTTTTTTTTGAGTTGGAGTCTCACTCTGCCACCCAGACTGGAGTGCAGTGGCCGCTCCCGGCCACCGCAGCCTTGACCTGCTGGGCTCCGGTGATCCTTCCGCCTCAGCCTTCCATGTAGCCGGAATTACAGGCATGTGCTACCACGCCCGGCTGATTTTTTGATTTATTGTAGAGATGAGGTCTCGCTGCCCAGGCGGGTCTCGAACCCGCGGGCTCAGGCAATCCACTCACCTCAACCTCCCAAGGCGCGGGATTACAGGCTGAGCCACCGAGCCCGGCTTATTTTATTTTTTATAGACAAAGTCTCTTTATGTTGTCCAGGCTGGTCTTGAATGCCTGGGCTCAAGCGATCCTCCCACCTCAGACTCCTAAAGTGCTGGGATTACAGGTATGAGCCACCACGCCAGGCTAAGCCTTTTTTCAAAAAGGGAGTGTGCTGGGAGATGGACCTCTTGCAATGTAACCCAACCCCATGCCCATCTGCCTGTTCACACTGCTCCTTGCAAAGCAGCTGAACTCCTGCTCCCTGTGTGTTCTCTTCAGCATTCGCCAAAGCTGGCCAATCCTTGCTTGAAAAAGTCTCTATCTTTGTCCATTTCCTTGATGTTCTGGTAACTTCCTTTTCTCTTCCCATTCCATGAATGAGCCCATCTTACAGACCTGTCACCAGCACCACCACGCTCTTTCTATATATACTCTCCCTGGGTAATTCCATCGTCTTTCCTGACTATAGCTGTCACCTACGTGGAGGTGACCCTAAGTCAGTGTTTTCATCCTTACATTATTTTTGAAGCCTTGGCACATACCTCCAGCTGCCTCCTTTACTGCCCGCTTGGTCATGTTGCTGGCACCTCCAGGATTTATAGGAAAGCTAGTGACATCACTACCTTCCCTCCTCTCACCAAGCCCAGTTTCCTTGTGACTCTCTAATTCCTATTAACGGTGTTATTATTTATCGTTTTCTAAACCAGCCAAGTTTAAAAGTCTGAGTCATCTCTCTTGGTTCAAGTCACCTTCCTATTCCCCAAGCTCTAAAAACAAAAGGAAGGAAAGAGTGAAGGAAGGGAAGGACGGATGAGGTGGAGGACCAGCCTTCCTAAGAGACTTCCATCTAGCAAAAAGGAGGAGCAGGACGCACAGGCAGGGCCCTGAGCAAGAAAGGGGAGAGGGCTTGATCTGCAGGAGCCTCTAAGGCAGTGCCTGTGGGCTTGGAGGCCAGAGGAGTAAAATGGGGGGGGGGGGTGCAGGAGGACAAAGAAGGAGCCGGGAGGGGTAGGAAGCCGCCGTACCTGGGGTGCTCCAAAACAGTTCTGACTTCAAAACTAGTCTCTCTAAAGCAGGGAAAAAATACATTTCTCGAAGTATTAAATTCAAAAATCAAATAGGTCAGGCTATAAAGAAAAAGGAAGGTTGGAAACAAAAATGAATTTAAAAAAATAGGAATGCAAGTTCAAGTCAATCTCATTTTTAATAGTTACATGATACATCTATACATGACCTAGCTATAAGTATGAGGACATTGAGATTTCCTTCAGCTCCAACAGAGCAGCTTTATACATAATGTTCTCAAGACACAGGGGACAAATGAGTGACCGGGGGAGTCTGGCCTTGGCTGTGATTAAGACGTAGGCAGAAGACTCTTCTTTATGCCCCAAGAAGGGAGGCAACAGAGACCAAAGCAGACTGTCTGATGGAGGAGACTTCAGGGATATCCCTGAGCTCCTGTGTTATGCCCTCCTGATTGTTGGCCTTTCAAGGCCAAAGATGAACCTTAACACCTCTGGATAGCCTTTTTTTTTTTTTTTTGAGTTGGAGTCTCCTTCTGTTGCCCAGGTGAGAGTGCAGTGGCATGCTCGTGGCCACTGCAGCCTCAACCTGGTGGACTCCGGCAATCCTCCTGCTTCAGCCTTCCAAGTTGCTGGAACTACAGGTGCACGCTACCATGCCTGGATAATTTTTTGATTTATTGTAGAGACAAGGTCTCGCTAAGTTGCCCGGGCTGGTCTTGAATCCCTAGGCTTAGGCAATCCTCTAACCTCGGCCTCCCAAAGTGCTGGGGTTATAGCCTTGAGCCACCGTGCCCAGGGTTTTTTGTTTGTTTGTTCGTTTTTGAGTTAGAGTCTCACTCTGTCATCCAGGCTGTAGTGCAATGGCATCCCTTGACCTTCTGGGCTCAGAAGATCCTTCCATCTCAGCCTTCCAAGTAGCTGAACTATAGGTGCACACCACCATGCCCAGCTAATTTTTGGGGATGGGATCTTGCCAAGTTGCCCAGGCTGGTCTCGAACCCCTGGTTTCAGGCAACCCTCTTGCCTCCACCTCCCAAAAAGATGGGATTATGGGCATGAGCCACTGTGCCCTCCAGGTAGTCCATTCTAGATCAACATTGACAAAGCCCTATTTCCATGTGTGTCACTTCCTTGGTGATGCAATTTACCACTGGTATTTAGGGGCCTTGCCTGTTAGCTGGCCTATATCTCTCTATTTCCAAACTGCAGGGAATGCTTCCTACATTCTAGCATTCTTGACTTTAGTGAACATGCACAGTCAAACCTGCTTTACTCTTAGGACTTTACGGACTAACTCATGTCACCAGTTTTGCCAGCCTAAGAGTGTTCATACTTTGACTCGATGCACAGGTGGTAGTCTTGCAATTCCTCTGAGCATCTTGATCTTCTCAAAATGCAATTACATGTCTGATGTGCTGAAATGAATGCAACATTGGCCATGTGAAATACCATGGTTTTGTAGAACAATAAAGCACTGTAATACTACCAACTGTATACATGGATCACCAAAAAAGTAGGCGCTTACTGTCAGCTCTCCTGTTGACCACTGTCTTGCTCACACCCAGAACATTCCTGGCCCAGCATGGCCTCGCCACAAACACTTATGAAATGAATGTCTCTTTATTTCAGCCACATGGTGATAAACATATATGCATGCACATACACTTACATATATGCAAGAAATAACACAAACCTTCCAAAGTGCAACGCTGGAGTATTTTTCCTCTGAGCAACTTTAATCCATCTGCTATGAGGGAGACACCATTCTTGGCCCACCCACTCTTTCGTTTCTTTCCATTTTGATCAGTCTATACCTAATTGCAGCCACGTCTCTTAGTGGGGGCTGCTGTCTGAGATCTCAGCCCTCTAGTCTGTCGTATGTTGCAGACACGTTCTCCTCCCATCACTTGTCAACTTTTTGGTCTTTATCAGTTATCTATTTCATGCACCCTCATCTTTCTGCCTCTCTGACCTTGGCTTGTCCTCCCCACGCTCTGCCATCCAGCTGCTCCTTGCTGTCCCATGCCCATTTCCACAACCAGGTATTCAAGATCCAATGGCTGTCCCCTCCAAAACTTATCCCCTACACCTTCCCCACAGAACCCCTCTCCTCTGGACAGCCCTGTCTCTGAAGCAAATGCAATTTGTAAAATGGGTTAATAAAATAAGTCTGGAGAGTTGATTCAAGGGATTTTTAGTATGTGTTGTTAAATGAGGGTACAGAAGTACATACAATATTCCACATTTGAAAACGCATGTGTGTATTAAAAGGTACTGAACACATCAGTGTGAACAATATTGGTTGATTGGATGGACAAGAAAGAGAAAAAGGGAGGGAGGAATGGGAAACAAACAAAAGGGACTATTAAAAACAACAGGTTCCATGATAAAAGGTAAAAATTAAGTGAGAATTGTATAAAATTACATGTGTATAAATGGTTACCAAAATGTTGGAGGTGTTGTTGGCATGTTATCTTAGGGTGAAAATATTTCAGGTGACTTTTATACTCTTCCTTGTACTTTTCTGCATTTTAACAGAAAAGATAAGGACTGTATAATCAGAAATTACTATTTTTATTGATGGAAAAATTTGAATGATTCAGCAACACAGGCAACATGGAAATAACGTCCCTTGCCTTCCCAGCCAAAACAGAGAAATTGGCATATTTCATGACTACAGGAGGTCTTCTCCGTCGTCTTCAAAATGGAGACAGACCACAACATCCAAAATTCATAATTATCATAAATATTTTAACTCTAATTTTTAACAGTTTCCCAATGGCTTGGAGCACTCTGAAGACTCAGTCAATCCTCATTAATTGGCAAGCACCTTTCAAATCTCATGAATGATTACCTCAAATATGCTATTATTTGATATAAAAATGCTCTTGAAAAGGAAAATCTCATCTAAAAAGAATACCAGAGTGGAACAGTTCCAAAGAAGATAATTGAACTATGAAAGTTAACCTGCCCCAACAGAAGTGGTAAAACTCTAATAACACACAACAAAATTGTCTTCCTGCTCTGGTCCCATTACATGCATCCAGTTTTGCAACCTGCATTCCTACAGTCTCAGGGCTCTTATTATCACACCCCTCCTCAAAGGCTGGCCACTCAATAGCACTAGCTTCTGTTTCTTACTGGAGATGCAAGGGTCATGACATTAGCTATCAATCGGTGTCAATGATCGCCAGGCCCGGTCCATCTTCAAAACTTTAAACTGCCTGCTAAAATTCTGGCTAGAACATGCAATTGTTTTGCAGAAAGTTACAATTTCTTCCTTCTTCTGGGCCTACTTTCTCCTCAGGGCAGCTCAAGTGTGTGCTTGAGAGCTGTCTGTGAGGAGCCCAGAAACAGCCCGATCAGGCTTCTGGCACCCAGCTCTCACGGGGCAGAGGTTGCTGGCCTTGGAGACCGGGCACCTCCACCTGGATGCCACTCTCTTCAATGGTAACTGGGATCAGGTGACATGAAAAGTCATTTTATATATCTCACGTGTTCAAGTCAAATACTTACCTGGACTAACAAGTGACCTGAGTTAGGCAAACATGTGCCACATTTCTTGGTGTTCTCATTTATTTGCTTTATCAAATTCACCAGTATTTCCACAGCACCTCTGCTGATCATTTCGTCAAAAAATCCTGGATTTCCAGAAATGAATTTTATAGCCCCCATACAGTATAAAAAAGCTTCGGTGTTTCTTTGCAGGTCTTCACTTCGCAGAACCTCCAATAATGATTCTGTCAAAAAGATGAATTATTGTAAGCATATAACAGCTGGAGAGAAATATACTAAAGCACTTCCATGGGAATGTCAAATACAATTGGTAAAATATGTTCATCAAAGCCCATATTTAGATGCTTGTTAAGGGTTCTATAGAGAGAAAAGCTTACTTTTAGCGAAGACAAATCTCTGTAATAGCAATGTAAGCAAAAGAATAGGACTGTTCATATACATGAGACAGTATTCTTTTTATTAACTCCATTCCTTGCCTCTTACTTTTTTTTTTTTGTCAGAGTTTCACTCTGTTGCCTAGGCAGGAGTGCAGTGGCATGCTCACGGTCACTGTAGCCTCCATCTGCTGAGTTCAAGTGATCCTTTCTGCTTCAGCTGGAATTATAGGTGTGGCCACCACACCAAGCTAACTTTCTGATTTATTATAGAGACAAGGTCTCACCATGTTGCCCAGGCTGGTCTCAAAACCCATGGGCTCAGGCAATTCTCTCACCTCCACTTCCCAAAGTGATGAGATTACAGGCATAAGCCACCGTACCCAGAGCCTCTTACTAATATTTATCAGCCTTTATTTTTAGTTACAAAAGTTATGAAGGGATACTAATAATTAAACCTATTTAAGAATTAAATTTTGACAAACCTTTAAGAATATATTTCTTGCTGGATTAATGGTAAATTAATTAAGTGCTTTTAAGAAAAATCCCAATCACCACTAAAAAAGATCACTTAAATATAACACCTGCCCTTTTCCCAAGAAAACTTAAGAAATCCATCCAAATAACATACAACTACCAACTGTAGGAGTAACACAGGCATCTCCAGTAAGGTAGATCATGCGTATCTCATATTTCATTTGATTAATATATGATCATTTGTCAGAATCTTTCTTTGTTTTCGGCCTACAATTCTCAATTAGCACGTTCAGTCTTAGACTTTCCTTTCAGTGCTGGCTTTGTTCTTGTCTGCTAGGGCAAAGGAAGATGCAGGGATGTTTTATCCTATGCTGTGAAAAGAGGGGCTCACAGTATTTCCCACATGGCTGCCTGCTCCTAACCTGCAGTATTAATTCATAAAAGATTTCCATCTAGATGACTACTGAGGCATCTTCATTATTTAGGGATATGCCCCAAACAGGCATTATGAGCTCAATGGAATGCCATAAAACTTCCCTACCTACACGTTTGAAACACGTTCATGTCAGATTTCTTTTTTTTTTGTTGGCGTCTCACTCTGTCTCCCAGACTGGAGTGCAGTGGCCACTCCCGGTCACTCCCGGTCACTGCAGCCTCAACCTGCTAGGCTCCGGTGATCCTTCCACCTCAGCCTTCCAAGTAGCTAGAACTACAGGCGTGCGTGACCACGCCCGGATAATTTTTTTATTTATTGTAGAGATGAGGTCTCGCCAAGTTGCCCAGGCAGGTGTTGAACCCGTGGGCTCAGGCAATCCACTCACCTCAGCCTCCCAAAGCGCGGGATTACAAGCTGAGCCACTGAGCCCAGCTCATGTCAGATTTCTATAAGCTATAGACATCCTTCCGTTTGTAGTCATCCCTACTATATCAAAAGACTAAAAGTTTCAATTATGCCAAATACTATTAAAAACATTCTTCTAATAGTAAATCTAAGTCCAGGAAATGAGCTTTTAAATGGGAGAGCACTTTGTAAAGTCACATGACTACAGGCATTTAAGGAAATAAGCCAACTATTAAAGGGTGCACTAAACAGAAGGTGGAAACCAGAGGACAGAATGAAACTCAGCATGGTACAACGTTGGAATCTTCTGGCTATCATTACTTAGATGTTTTCCCTCCAAAGTCTTCATTTGTACTCAAGTAAGCATTTGCTCAATGGTAGCACCTACTGACACTCACCCAGAACACCGTTATTTTGAATCAGAGAATCATTCTTCTCATTCCTGCTAATTTTAAATACAAGTTTGCAGACATTCAGAAGATTCTTTCTACTCACTTTCAGCTGCAGAGAAAGAAAACACATTTGTTTACTTCTATTGCAGAGAGAAATAAAGACATGCCATACTTTAACAAACAAACAAAAACACAGTTATTTTAAAAGTGTAGCAAGAGCATTTTTACACATAAAGAAAATTTCTAAAGAAATCAACTTTGAAAAATTTAAGCCACATATTTACCAACTATGATATCTAATTAACCTCAATTATAGTGAATATAATATAAATGACCTTGAACAATTATAATACTACAAGAAAGGGATTGGCTGTAGTGGGAAACTGTCAGGGGAGGGGGGTGGGATTAGCAGTTGAGGGAAATTGCTAGGGGGAGGGGAATACCTCAACAAGGGTAACTGCAGAATCAACATTTGTATAACTAACCCTCACATCTTTATAATGGAAAATAATAACAATAAAAAAGTAAAAGATACTTCTCAAATATATATATATATACACATATATATATAATATACACACACACACATATATATATATAAATGACCTTTAGAGAAAGATCATTTTTATGACAAGCAGTTATTTCTTTCTTCATAAAGTCTCATATTAATATGTGCATGTATCAGTTACTTTTAGAGGAGAGGATGAAGGAGGTAGAGCAATGTTAATGAATTTAATTAAAATAGAGTAGTAATTGCTTTAAAACATAAAAGTAAAGGAGCATGAATAGCAAAATTTCAGATTAAATGAATTGACTTATTATTTTAAAACATGGTCTACTCTGCCACCCAGGTTGAAATGCAGTGCTGTGATCCTGGCTCACTGCTGCCTCGACATTCAGGACTCAAGAAATCCTTCCACCTCAGCCTCCCAAATAGCTGGTCTACACCAACATGCCCAGCTAAGTTTTTACTTTTGTTTTGTATAGAATGGAGTCTTGCTATATTACTCAGGTTGGTTTCTAACTCCCAGCCTCAAACAATCCTTTTACCTCAGTCTCCCGAGTAGCTAGGATTACAGATGTGAGCCATTGTGCCCAGTCTAAACCAGTTTAGAAAAAATACAGAGTAAAGGTGAAAGAAAGAAAATAAAGGGGGAAAGAGGCTGGGCATAGTGGCTCATGCCTGTAATCCCAGCACTTTGGGAGACCAAGGTGGTTGAATTGCTTGAACTCAGGAGTCTGAGACTAGCCTAGGCAACATGGTAAAATAAAAAAACAAAAATAAAAACAAAAGAAAGAAAGAAAATAAAGGGGGAACGTATGGTCCTTTTTATCACTTGCATAAAAGAAAATTATAAGAAATCTGTTTAATAAGATAATACATATATATTCATTTTTAAGGCTATTTTTGCAATGCTTTGAGATAATCACAGCATTGATTGTTGAAATCTTCCATCTAAATCATACAAAAATACCTAAGTAAATTATACACAGGGCCATAGGGAAGTATAATTTTTTCAAAAAGCACAGTATAGGATGACTAACTGATCAAATGGTCTAAGTAAGTTGTATATTTATCCAAAGTAGCAAAATGTAAAGATAAAAAATCCTAAATATCCCAAGAAATCCTAACTATCTGGGGATAGTTTAATAAACTGTGGGACATCAATACTATTCATATTAGGCAGTCATAAAAAAAGTATAACTGTGAACATTGTGTTTAAAAAGAAAAATGTATAACTATTATTAGGTAGAAATATTATGTGCCTTCATTATGACAACGCAAAAATATGTTTGTAGGAATGAGGTCATTTAACAAATAAATACTTCTGTGTGAAAAGGATGGCATATGGGTCACATTTTATTATTTTTGGTTTTTGTAGAGATGGAGTCTTGTTATGTTGCCCAGGGTGGTCTGGAACTCCTGGCCTCAAGTAATCCTCCCACCTCGGCTTCCCAAAGTTCTGGGATTACAGGTGTGAGCCACTGTACCCAGCCTAAAAGCTATCATTTTATTTTTAATAATGTGTATTAGTGACTTTTCAGTTAAGTTTTTTTTTTTTTTTAAGTAATAGGATTTGCCAGACATATTTGTCAAAGATTTGTTCTGTTTGGCCCACAAATATTTCCCAAGCACCTGTTGTGTGCCAGACACTGTGCTGTTCACTGTAGGAGATACCAAGAAGGACACAGCCAGCCCAGGCTGGAGGGGTCAGGGAGGGCAGCTTGCTCAGGGGACAGCTTCTGTCTGCCCTCCCACACTGAGTCCCTTAGAAAGTTATCCCAGAGCGACACTACCAACCAGGTGCCGCCGTTCCCATTTTGCAGGTGAGGATCTTATGCCTCAGGTCACAGAACCATCCTGCATCACCTGGGCATGCCACATGTCAGGAATGCAGATTCACAGCCCCCGCCCCCCAGCCCTCCTGAGTCAGAATCTGCATTTATACAAGATTCCTGGGGGATTCCTGGCTGCATGGAGATTCCTTTGATTCTCAGGAGGGAAAAAGGAATTGAGAACTTAAAAAAAAAATTTTTTTTTGAGTCTGGGTCTCTGGGCCCAGAGTGCAGCACAGTGGTAGGATCACAGCTCACTGCAGCCTTGACCTCCTGGGCTCAGGCAATTCTGCTGCCTCAGCCTCCGAGTCTCTGGGACTACAGGTGTGTATCACCACACCAGGCTAATTTTTTTGAATTTTTGTAGAGAGGAAGTCTCACTATGTTGCCCAGGCTGGTCTCAAACTCCCAGGCTCACGTGGTTCTCCTGCCTCGGCCTCCCAAAATTCTGGGATTATAGGTGTGAGCTGCCATGCCTGGCCGAATTTTTTTTAATGATTAGGTGTTTAAAATAGCATTTCAAAACCCAGAAAATAAGTTGACAAGAGAAAAATATTTCTATATCCACGGAAATATATAATGTTCTTAATATTTGAGAATATTTCTGAATCCATTGACTATCTACTACTAGATTGTGAGTCCTTGAGGTCAACACCATGATTTATCACTCTTCCTATGTGTGGTATGTAGCATATGCTTAGTAAAACTTGTTGAATAAATGAATGACTACAACTCACTTCCTCCTCCCCCTCCAAGGCACATTTTTAGTAAAAAGTGGGGGAAAAAACCTGGTACCAGAGTTTTCATCAAAACAATTTTAAAAGGAAAGAAAGAAAGACAGCCACAATTTCCAGGCCTGTTATAAGGTCAGTTTACATTCAAGGCAAATTCTTAAAACTTCTCCCTTGGTAACTGTCAAATTATGACTTTAAGACATGAAAAGATCGTAAGACGTTAAATGTTATACAAGGAACATAGACGACCTTATAAGGACCATTTCTATCACTATGTTCCCTATACTTGGCTTCATCCTTTTCCCAGGGGACTCATCAGGCCTCTGGCCCCCGCTGTTGTTTGTGTCCCCTGCAACCTGGCCGGCCCAGAAGGGCAGGGTTATTCACTTGTATTCCCAGTGTCAAGAAGAGTCCTTGCCACAAAGTAGGTTCTCATGATAGGGCAGTTTATTCTATTTAGAGCAAATCTGGCAAATTAAAGGAAAGTAAGACAAGTTTTCAAATCACTCATCACAGTTGACATATTGGTGTTTCTTTCCTGTTTTCTTCCCCAGAGAAAGTGCTAGATTTTTCCTCCTTCCGAATGCAGTTGCATTTATACTGTATACATGTTAGTACTCTTTACAGAAAATCTTAATATAGACTGATATATCTTTGTAAGAGTTTTTGATATAAAGATTAAAATTAAGAGGGCTGTTTGGCAAACCCCCATTGGCCAGCGTTTGCCAATATTGGCAGAAAGAAATTGTGAAAAACTCCATTGTCTCATATGTCTTTAGTTTTTGGTGGTTTTTCTTCTTCAACAGCTCTTATGACATAGTCTTTAAAAAACATACACAGAACCCCATCACCAAGGCCTCGACTCAACAGGCTGGAATGTTCCAGGAGTTTCAGGCAGTAGATGGAAAGTCAGACTTGATGGCTTTGAATGTCCCTTCTGACTTCCTGGTCCTGCAGTTAACCAGAAGGCAGACCACCCAACTCTGCACTCTGGAGTTCAGTCTGCAGTCTTGCCCCGATCCAGCAAGGCACTGTCACCAAGAAGGCTTTATCTAATCATGTGTTTAGTTCAGAATGTGTTTGCTGCTTGGCAGATCCCTTAGCCTGCTGCCCCAAAGTAGTTAAATTTGTATCATAGATATAATTATTTTAAATGACACCTTAATAACCAGATAATATTTTCTCTACAAAGCAGTAATGAATTAATCTCCCTCCTTCTCTCCTTCCTTCCCTCCCTCCCTTCTTCCTTCCTTCCTTCCTTCCTACCTTCCTTCCTTCCTTCCTTCCTTCCTTCCTTCCTTCCTTCCTTTCTCCTTCCTCCCTCCCTCCCTCCCTCCTCTCCTTTCTTGTTTTGGCCTGGTATGGAATAAAATGCCTAGGATCCGGATTAAAATATCAAAGGCAATCTGTGGGTGACTGTTACACCAGCAGAGGCCAAGAGTGAAAAAGAGTGAAATCACTCTTTCAAAGAAATGCTGCCTTCTGAGTCACATATCACCATTTTAAAAAAGAGAGCTAGTAGTTTAGGATGATAGCAAAATAAGAATGTAGCCTCTCCCCAACATTACACAGCATATGTAGCCAGAAGAGTCTTCTATATGAAAGACATCATTGTCAAAATAAGCAGCAGTAGACGTTCTTACTCAACGTTAGTAAGTATGCCAACGCTTGCCTTCACTGTGTACTTTAAGATTTTAAATCCTATAAATTATGGAGTGTTAACACAAAGCTTCGACTTTTATGAAACCAAGCAAGCAAAGTTTCATTCATTTGTTTCAGCGGCTCCCTTAGAACGGTCTATAATGATTGTGACTTATCTTTTGATTCTAACTGTTTATAGCTGCAGCAACTAAGTGCTTTCCTCAAACAATGATATCATTCTGTTTGAGACAGAGTTTCTACAGAGTTTTATTTGCTGTCTGGCCTTTACTTCTACCACCTTACGGGAGCCTTCTGTGACCACAGAGGTATCTTCACACGACCTCATGCAGTCGTTTTTTCTGATTCACACTGGTTCCTAAAGCACCTGCCTCGTTATGCTTGTGGCCCAAATTAGTTTGTTATTTATTAAATCATATGACAGAATCAAGCACCCAGCAGAAATTACTTGGCAGAAACCACAGCCTGCCCAGTCTGATACTGATCTCCAGTAAAGTTACATGAGATGCTATTTCGAATGTATTTACCTGTTGTTATTTTTTTCCTTTCCCTTTTTGCCCTCCCTCCCTCTCTCTCTCCCTCCTTCCTTTCTTCCTCTCTTTCTTTTTTCCAACCTAGTTTCAATCCAAATGTAAGAGTTTATTTGAACATTTTCTGCGCACATAGGCTTAGTTCCTTAGACACCTTCAAGCCAAATTCTGGGATGTCAATTTATTATCTTAATATTTCTCAAGATTCTAAACAAATACACTGCATTTTTAATCTTCTTTGTGATATTTACAAAGAAAGCATTAAGCAAAGCTTTTATGTGTGAGAAAGAAAAACTTACTGCTAGAATAATTTTTGCAAGTTTAAGGCTGAGCAAGTCTGAGCCAACATCAACTCGTTTGTACAGAGTCTTCAGGAGAAAACTTCTTCTCTTAAATTTCTTTCCAAGCATGTTTCCTTCCTCTAAAGCGTGATGAAGTTGTGTGCAGGCACCACAAACCATTTCAATGTTTTCTTCTGTCAGAGCAAAAAAAGTAAAGCAACACTTACTAATGAAGGTCAAGTTTACAAGTATGTCAAACACAGACTGTGTAAGTAAAAACCCCGTATTTATTTCCCTGGCTGTCTCCACATTCCGGAGCTATATTTTCCCTTCTCTTATCACTTCCATCTACCCGTGGTTTTTCATCCCTTTGATCCATCTCCTACCATGTTGACCTGTTTCCTTATCTGTCAGTTGGCTTATCTAGGATACACAGTCTTTCAAAGAGTGTATGAAGGAATGGCACTGCCACCAATTTCAGTTGGTCTCCTTTCCTCAAATGCCCTCCACCGCCACCTGTGCTCTGTTTCGTCCCACGGAAGCACACTACCTGCATCTTCACCATCAATCCTTTCCTCAATCCACTGGCCTAGAATGTTCTCCTTACCCTCGTTCTGGTTGTTTTTGGTCCTTCAAGACTCTATGTTCCAGCTCTTCCAGAAAAGATGCACGATCCCACCGTCAAAAAACGTTACCTTGGACAGTTATTTATTGGTCACGTATGTATGTGTGTGTTGTGTCACATGCCCAGTGCCCTCAACAGATGTCATGCTAAGTGAGGATGAGCCAGGCCTGACATACCTGGGGACCAGCAGCGCATGGCACAGGGAGAATAATGGAGAAACAACTGACAGCATCATTTTACTCATGTTCCTTCTCTAATTTATCTGTTGACAAAAATGATGACCAATAGTTTTCAATGAGAACAATGCTCATCATCTGAGTAAAAAGGGCTCTTATAGGACAGAAGCTCAAAATGTCACCAAATTCACCACTCAGATTTGGAGGTGGTTTTTAGAAAAGAAGAGAAGGAAAAGAAGATTTTAGCTAGAAAATAGGGAGCCCTAGAACAATTATGTATGTATTTGAGTTGGGGTCACACTCTGTTCCCTAGGCTGGAGTGCAGTGGCATGGTCATGGCTCACCACAGCCTCGGCCTCCTGGCCTTAGGCCATCCTTCCACCCTCAGCCTCCCAAGTACTGGGACTATAAGTGCACACCACCATGCCTGGAAAATTTTTAAAATTTTTTTGTAGATCGAGGTCTTGCTATGTTGCCTGGGTTGGTCTTGATCTCTAGACCTCAAGTGATCCTCCTGTCTTGACCTCCCTAAGTGCTAGGTGGCCCATGCCTGACTGCAGTTTATTTTGATTTATGATTCTGAGGAAGGTTAAGTTTTGAAAGTGGCAGCCATGCTAACAGGAACACACAGGTGGAAAACAGCACACAAAAGAGAACATGAGAGAAATAAAAGAAGCCAAAGTATAAGATATTCTGTTGAAAAATATTATCTCTGGTAGATTCCATCACGGAATGTAAAAGCAGGAAGCCAATCTTCAATAAGTACCATAATGCGCTCTTAGAAGCCCACATAGAGGAAGTGTGTGCCTGCAGAAGGAAATGACTCAGGCCATTTTTAGCTCTTTTCAACAATAACATCTAAGAAAAAAATGTTAAACCTCAATAGCTAAGTAGCCTTCAACGTCTTCAGTTATGTGCTGAACTAAATGACCTGATGGGAAATGACTGAGACTAACTTTAAATAAAGGGAAAAACCTGGACGCTATTGTATGAAACACGTTTTGCGTTGTTTTATTCTTCTGTGACTGGCTGTTTCTTCACAAACCCCAAGTCCTGACTCTGGGCCACCCATTGGCAGTGGGTGGTCCTCAAGCTATTTTTCCAACACTTCCCTCCACAAACTCTTCATTCCGGTGGGTTCTACTCAAGAATAGTTGTTTTAGCTTTTTAAAAAATGTTAAGAAGAAGGCTCAAGAGTCAAATTTTAAACTACTGCTCAGATGAACCCTTTATACCAATTAGTTTGTTATAACCTCAATAGACAATTTGAATCTGAGTGGTTAAGATTTGCAAGGATCTGAAATTAGTGGATAAACGTTTGATGAGTGGGAGAGAGTAACAGTCTCAGAGTAACATTTCCCCCCAAGATACTCATTAATTACAAAGGCAAAAGCAGCAACATTGTAGTGGATAAAGCTGCCAGACCCCACCTCACCCAAGTGATCAAAGTTCACATCACCAGCAACAGAACAGGCCAGCGTCACGCCCCTCCTGCTGCGAGGTACTGGGGACTCAGCAGCACGGATGCACAACACCTGCCCAAAATGCTCACCTGGATCTCATCCTCGGGAAATACCAGACAAACCCAACTTATGGGACAGTCTATAAAGTATTCCTCAAAGATGTCAAGATCATGAAAGAGATCTGACAAACGATTGGGATATGTGATCCAGGAATTTTTTTTTTCCTGACAAAGGGAATTATTGGGACAGTTGGTGAAATCTGCGTAAGAACTGTATAGTATTGTATGGTCATTTCCAGAAACATATGAGAATGCTTTTGCTTCTAAAAATACATGTCAAAGTCCTTAGGGATATGGGGCATTGGGTTGGAAACTAGTTCTCAAATGGTTCAAAAAACAAAAACAAAAAATGGTGTGTGGGGGTTGGTGGTAAGAAAAAGAGAGGGACAGGAAGGGAGGGAGAGAATGAGAAGGCCAATGTGGCCAAGCGTCAGGATTGGGGAAATCTGGGCGAAGAGCACACAGCACTGTTTGCACTACTCTTGTAACTCTTCTGTAAGTCTGAAATTATTAAAGAAAAAGTAAAAAAATAAAAGGATCTCTGGGAGTCAAATAATCCAGCCCTGCCTCCATTTGCTGTTTCTTTAAGAGAAATGCCACACTTCAGCATTTGATAGGACTTCTGAGAAGGGGGATTCATCCTCATTTCAAATTCCTAACTCTTGTCAAATTCTCTCTGTTGGTGCTTGTGGAGGGCAGAGACCACAGCATCCCCTCGAAATCCTTCAGGGTAAGCCAGGTGTGGTGGCACACATCTGTAATCCCTGCTTCTCAGGAGGCTGAGGCGGGAGGATTGCTTAAGTCCAGGAGGTCAAGGCTGCAGTGAGCTATGACCACACCACTGCACTCTAGCCTGGGTGGCAGAGTAAGGCTCTGTATGTTAAAAAAGAAAATCCTTCAGGCTGAAGACTTCCTACAAGATAGGCCTTTGCAACACTGACTCTTTGAATGTTTCCTGGTATATTTTCCTTTTTAACTCTTACCTAGACTCATTGTTTTGCTCATATCTTCTCATACAAAAGGCCCAAAGTTAACCTGGCACATGAATATGAGGTGAAAATTAGTAGCTCTGGGGCAGGGAGGAGTCATCACATCCATATTCTGAGGCTTTTGAACTACAGAGGACTTTGGAGATAATCTAGCCTCATCCACCCGCTGGCCTGGCAGGTGAGGACACTGTTGCAAACAGAGTAAGGTGATTTCCCCATGGCCATGTGCAGCACTAGGACCAGACACCATGTCCAGGGCTCCCATATTAACCACGGACATAGCCAAGCACCAACAGGGAGTCGAGGAGGAGTGAGATAAGCATTTGAACCTTTCAGGTGTTAGGTCGTTTGCAGGACTGCCCTGCTTGTTTGCTGGGGAGGATTCCTTTTTGCTGCTTCTCCTCGGGTGTCTTCTGGGGCTACTCTATTGGTCTGCTCATCCACAGTTCCGGGCGAGGGCCTACTGTGTGCAGTGTGCCAGGCCCCGGGCTCACCCTGAGGCGACTACCACAGCTCCAGGGGAGCCTGGTTCCACCTCACAGAAGGAGAGCTGCCTTTTCAAAGGAGAGAAAACGGGGTTGCAGGGACCCAAGGATTGTGGGCCTCCACTGCTGGGCACTTCAAGGGCAAGGATCTGGCCGCTTCCCATGCTGTGGGTGGCATTTCCTACAGAGGTGCTCACCCTCAGGAGAAGGGGACATGCACACACAGTTGGCCTGAGGAACCCGGGGCACACCTGTTAAGAACACCAGTCTACATGATTTCATTTCAGAAGCTTGAAATCTGTTTTTATCTTTTACTTTCTTGAGAACAGCCAACTTAAAGAGGTTACACAAACATTTCCTCGAGCAAAGGAAGTAGCGATTTATTTATATGACACGGGAAATTTTACAAGCTGGCTCTCTGGGTGCATTGAAAACATACTCTTACTAAAACCATGTGTACATGGAACATTTCATACACATGTTACTGGGTAAAAAAAATCAGGTGACTGCACTTGTTTTTGAACATGTTCACAGAAATGATAGTCAAAGTTAATACGTATGTCAGGGCAGGGGGAACATACACATAACTATAGATATTTTAAATTTAAAACAAAAATAGCTTTTTTTTTTTTACCCTTTTCTAGTTCACACAAAATTGGTGCAATCCTTGTATTCCAAAAGACTTCGTCTTCTATTTCTGTTTCCTTTTCTTGCAAGTCCGGTTTTGAGACTGCAAGAGAAAGCCAAAGTAGGAAGAAGAAACATGAGAAGTAATTGTAGCCACGTATGGTCAAAAGACTTTACTATTCATCACTAAAATTAATAAGCTATAGAATTAAATACACTTTGCCCCCGCTCCCCCCCAGCCCAACTATTTCTAATTAGAACTACAGGTCTTCTGATCAAGTCACCTCAAGTTAAACTCACATAAGATAATCTAAAGAAGCCAGAGCTTTAACCTATGGTTGAGACATTTTATACAGTATTAAGCTTTGTAAGTGCTGATGATTGCTAGTAAGGCAAACCATTTTGAGCTATTTTTTACTTAAACTTATCCTTCTGTAATGTAGAATACATAGCTATAGATATATATGTAAATAAAAAGATTTTTGAAAATGTTTAATGATAAATTTTCCAAAAGGACTTTATTTTCTATAGAAAATAAAATGTCCATGCTGTTATGGGGCCTGTAGCATCAATGCCAAGGCATTTTGTGTAGCATGGTAGGGAAAGCCAGGGCTTTGGGGGCTGGCAATTTTCCATTCACAGTCCAACTTTAATACTGATATGTCAGGTGACTGTAGTTTAGTTTCTTATCCTTTCTGAGTCTTGGTTTCCTCATCAGCAAAACAGAGGTTAGAATATTTGCCTTGAAGGTATAAGAATTAAAGACACACTATAGTATAGTAAGGCTCTGAGCCGGTGCCACAAGTCTAGAAATACACAATACATATGAGTTCCATGTCCCCGATTAAACAAACAAACAAGAAATTACCACTGACGCATCTTACAGCTGTGTGTGCTAGCCGAGAATAGATGCCACCCCCGAAGACAGGGTATAGAGAATAATAGTAACCACTGACCATGTACCATAGACCCAGCAGGCCTGAACTTCATTTTTCTAACAAGACTCTGAGGAGGTTCCCAGATTGTCCCCTTTTGAAGAAAGCGGGGCCCAGGTGTATTAAGTTATCTGCCCAAGGTCATAGAGTGTCCCAGCCCTGGCACTTGATCTCCATGCTATTCTGTCCTGCAGCAAAATGACAGACTAAAAGGTAACAATGGGGAGGAAATGGAAATCATATTAGAAACTGAAAATCATGACTACATTTCACACAGGCACACCTCAAGATCTACGGCACCCTTTGTGCAGCTGCCATGCAGAAGCATTCCTGGGCAGTGCAAGAGACGTATCCCTCAGTCTCCCTTCTCTGAAGTATACCTCTGAAGCGCCTCACCTGGCACTCAGTCTCTCTCAAGTCAGGGAGTCCACGCCCTTTCAGAGAGAAACTGGTACCAATTAATCCACACAGTGGGTGCCCAGACCTTAAAAAATGTTACACAAAGAGTTAGAGATCATGGGGGCAATCAGGAGAGAAAGGAACAAAAGCATCCATAACCAGTGTGTTTTCAAGTTGCTTTAACTAAACAAAGGCCAGCTGACCAGGAAGGCCTGCCAAGAGCAAAGGTATAAAGTCACCATCTGGGTTTGAATCCTGGCTCTGCCACCTCCTGACTGGTTGACTATAGGTCAGTTGCTTCACTTCTCTGTAAAATGGGGTACGGACATCTTTCCATATTGGGATTATGGGTTATTAATCTCTTGTATGTGCTATTCTCTTGTATTACTCAAGAAGAGAAAAAAATATACAGCACGTATTAAATGTGTGTGTATGTATGTCTTAATGAATATCCATATTAATATTTTCTTAACACTTAAAATGAAATTCTCTGCAGCAAGAAATCCAATAAAGTCTCTTCTCAATTATCTCTATAAATAGCAGAGGAATCCATGGATAACACATAATGGCGTGTATTAAAAATTTCATTTAAATTCAGGGATGTATCTGAATTCTAAAATGAATCCTCACCCCCATCAGATGAGCAATTCTCCCAAGCACACAGTGCTGAGGTCACCCAGGAGCAGTAAGGGAGTTGTACAGTCTGCCTGTCCTGCCCAACACACTGTCCTTCCCCTCCTGGGCTGTATGCCAGAAACAGCCATTCCCAGTGGCGACAAGTCTAGGCTTGCCTTTGTCAAACCTTCCTTCCACCAAGAATGGCCAGTGCACACTGGGTGTCTCAGAACGCTCAAGAAGCAAAAGCAAATAGGAAAGGGCTGTCAACAAAGTTATAACTACACAGTTGTTGGTACTGTAAATAGTACAACTTCTGCAAATAGTCTTAATAGCAAGGCTCCAGATAATCTATCTAAACCATAAGCAAGACTTCACCATAAAATACTGAGCTGAATTGTCTTTAGGACAAAATCTGTTCACATCAGTACAGGCTCACAGTCCCTGGTTTAAAACCTTAGGGGCCAGATGTGGCTTGGAATTCAGAAACATATGGATTTTAGAAAGGCAATGTGGTGCCCACATTGCATGTGGCACACCATCCCAGTAGGGTCTTCCGGGACAGCACCCGGTAGCGAAAGACATGAATATTTACACTAATGAAACAAAAACTGCAATTGGCTTCCTATCAGCTTTGGCCAGGTACTGCCAGATATTTCAGTTTTCAGACGTAGGGATTTTGGAACTGCATAGGAAGGTTTGCAGACCTCCATCTCAATTTTTTGGTCCATTATTTTTATGAGTCTGCCTTAACTTTGATAAATATGGATATGACTTCTAAAAGTAAATCTGAATATTCAAGTAGTACAGAGGGTGCCAACAAAATTTTAAGAGATGTTATCTATGGATCACTTTTTGAAGTTGAACTGGATTATGGTAGTGATGTGTAGTCTGACGTTTGCTCAAAAGATGGTGTTAGTCAAATGAATGCTAGTGTCACCACTAGTCAAAGAAAACGGCAGAAGCGTGGTTGTCATTCAAGGAGCCCAAGACCATTTTTAAAAGTGGTATTTGAAATTTGAGAATGTTATAGAAGTACAAGGACAGTGGAGGCGTGAGTATGCAATGGCACCTCCAACACACCGAACAATTGCATGCATCTGTGATGAGTTGGAGACCCATGGTGCTGTGTGTAATGTGCACCAGGGAAGGTCCAGGAGGCCTCACACAGCAGCAAGTCCTGCAGTTGTTCACCATCTTCAGAAGTGTCTGGATGCTGATGGGAACCACTTTGAGCACCTCTTGCCATTGCAGAAGTCAAATATGACCTGTGTTCATCTTTTGCTATTGGTATATATTGGCTATTACCATTTTAATACAGTTTTTTTCCTTCTTAAAATGCATATACTTTTTTTGGCACCTTCTGCATAAAAAACATAGCTGCTCATATTCACAGATAGCTAGTCAAGTCCAAGTCCAAAGAATATGAATAAGATCAGCATTTATCAAGGCAAGTGAAAAGCCAGACAAATAATTTAATCTATGCATATTTATGACACACTTAAATATACTAGAAATATAGACTTTGAGCCCAATAAGTTCAAGTGAGAATTTTTTTCTTTTAACTTTCTATGCAGTATACTATTTAATACAGCTGTCCAGTGAGGAACCATGATCATCAACCTGTTTCTCAGGACAAACAAAACTGATAACATATTCATCCCAGGAAGAACTGAGTTCCAGGGATAGGCCAAAAATCACAGAACAGTTTACTGAACCCTCACAGGCCCTGCTGAAAGTTTCCAAGACTTGTTTCTTTTCAAAATAGAAGTTAGCCAGACATTGTGGTATAAGGGTTTCCTTCTAAACCTCTCCCAGGAATCCCTGCATGCACAGTTGTGTCTGGTGATGGCCTTTTCACTTCTTCACCTCCCACACCCCCTTCATTTTATATTCTCTCCCCAGGTTATTCTAGAAGGTAAAGCTTGGATTGCTACATGCGATGGCTTTTTAGTCACACATACATGCATAATAATAAGGTTGTCTCAGTTTTGGACATCAATCTAATATTTTAGAAAGCACTTTCATCTAGGTTCACAGTTTGCTAAATATAAAAATTGTGATTCAACAGGAAATTGGGTAAGTCAAGCACACATTTCAGCATGTTTTTGAAGATTTTGCTGTCTCAGTGGTTATAGTTGTTAACCACAGCTTTGAGTGCTGGACATAAACCTGACACGATGTTTGGATTGGCTGATGTTTTTAGCATGTAGATGTAAAATCCTTAGCAACAATGCTGACTCTGAAATTAGAACATCTAAGATTTTCCTTGAGTAAAGGAATGCCCATTGGCCACAAAAGTCATTTTATTGATAAGAAATTCATTTTAAAGATAATTTTTTAACCTAATATTTGTTTGGTGACATAACATTTCACGTGCCCACATAAAAAATAAAGAATATAGCAAACACCCGTGCAGCCAAAATGAGTTTGGTCAAATATTAATATTTTGTCATATTTTTGTCCTTTCTCTAATTTTTAAGAAATAGAACATTACAAATACGATTGAAGGCCGGGAGCAGGGCTTAGCCTGTAATCCCAGCACTTTGGGATGCCGAGATGATTGCCTGAGCCTGGGGATTCGAGACTAGCCTGGGCAACTTGGTGAGACCTCGTCTCTACAATAAATCACAAAAAGTAGCCAGGCTTGGTGGCACGTGACTGTAGCTCCAGTTACTTGGAAGGCTGAGGTGGAAGGATGGTGACCATGCCACTACGTTCCAGTCTGGGCAACAAGAGTGAGACACTTAACTCAAAAAATAAATAAATACAGTTGAAGACCCCCATAGACCTTGTCTACCCATTTCTTCCTCCCTCTACCTCTAGGGGTTATCACCATTCTCAACCCAGTGTTTACTGTCATCATGCTTGACTTTACCTGCCCAGCACATAGACCTGTATCAATAAACAGTATATGTATGTCATCGCTGAATTTTCCATCCTAATGTTATGTCTGCATTCATTTTACTCAATAGTATAAATGTACATGAGTTCATTTTTCTAACCACTGTATTGAGTGAATACATTCTGTGTCATTTCTAGCTGCCTGTGGTTTATATTGTTATATATTTTCTCAATTAAACACTTTCAAATCCCAAAGGACTGTCTTAATGTAGTTAACATAGTTTCATTTAAGTGAGCAATGATTTTTGAACTTGAGTCTGGAACCTAAGAACTATGCTGATGTTAAGTTTTTAAACTTTCCAAATATTTTCGCAGAATAATCTCTTATAAATCCCACACCCCCTTATAATGTTCTATTTATCAGTCTTATTTATGATTAAGACTGTCATCTATAGATGTTTGCGGCATCAGAGCTGGGGAATGGTAAGATTGTGTAAAAATAAAAATAACAACTTATAAAAATAAATGGCGATCTGTGGTCAGTTGGACAAAGTCCCTGAAGTTTTTAAGTAGTGATCCCACATCAGACATCATCCGTACAAGCATGTTTCCCAGAGTGGAGACTGGCAAAGAATACAGGTGGGACTCTCACCTGCTCTGCTTTGCAGCCTGTTCAGATCCCAGCTGCCGGGGCAGGAAGAGGCCCTTGCACACCTCCTTCCCTGGTCCCTAGGAAGAAGAGGAAAACACAGAACACTCAGCACACACACCAAGCATTTGTCTTTCAGAAAATGATGGGAGTCTGCTGTATATTGTTTCTAAAGAAACCACAGAGGATTGTTTAGAAGATGGCGTTGGGTGCTCTATCTCCTGTTTTGTTGTTGTTGTTGTTGTTGTTTTTGAGTTGGAGTCTCATTCTGTCGTCCAGACTGGAGTACAGTGGCCGCTCCCGGCCACCGCAGCCTCGATCCGCTGGGCTCCGGCGATCCTTCCACCTCAGCCTTCCAAGTAGCCGGAATTACAGGCGCGCACTACCACGCCCGGCTAATTTTTTTATTTTATTGTAGAGATGAGGTCTTGTCTGCCCAGGTATATATTGAGTATTACTTTTTTTTTTTTTTTTTGAGTTAGAGTCTCACTCTGTCGCCCAGACTGGAGTGCAGTGGCCGCTCCCGGCCATCGCAGCCTCAACCTGCTGGGCTCCGGCGATCCTTCCGCCTCAGCCTTCCAAGTAGCCGGAATTACAGGCATGCGCTACCATGCCCGGCTGATTTTATTTTTTTAATTTATTGTAGAGATGAGGTCTCGCTGCCCAGGCGGGTCTGGAACCCGCGGGCTCAGGCAATCCACTCACCTCAGCCTCCCAAAGGCGCTGGATTACAGGCTGAGCCACCTTTAATCAACCTTTGATTTTGAAACGATTTACCTTTTCAAAACAAGTCATATTTGCTTAACAAAATGAAATATAATTACCAGAAAGAACGAAGGCAACAAAATCCAAAGCTTACTTTGCACATCAAAAATTGATTAAGAATATATACCACAAGAGGTCACTGTTAAATAAGAAAGAACTCTGGTATGCTTGAATCACAAAAGCTTAGCTTTGGAATTGGGAAAGACACACTCTCTCTTTCTCAGTCTCTCTCTCTGTCTCTCCCTCTCTTTCCCCACACACCTCCCTCCCTCCCTCCCTCCTCCCTTTTTCCTTCCCTCTCTCTCCCTGTCTCCCTCCCTCTCTCTCACTGTAGGAAAATTAAGTCCTAAACTGGTCACATGTGCCCAAGATCACATAGTAGGGACGAATCTGGCACCCAGTTCTCATAATTTACAAATTCACTGCTCACTGCTCTTTCCACTACATCAGTGTGTGTTCTGTTTCCATTTTTAAAATTAATTAAATTACTATTCTCTAAAAATGTTTTATTTTTAGAAATATTTTCAATGTTAAAAAATTCAAGGTCAATTCAGGCAGTCCCCAGATGACAAGATGGCAAATAAAAGAGTGGTGGCTGGCCAATAGCAGAATTTTATGTGTGTACACACACACACACACACACACACACACATACACACAAACACATATATACACAAACACATATATACACACACATATACACAAACACATATATACACACACACACATTTTTTTTTTTTTGAGTTGGAGTCTCACTCAGTCGCCCAGACTGGAGTGCAGTGGCCGCCCCTGGCCACTGCAGCCTCAACCTGCTGGGCTCTGGTGTTCCTTCCGCCTCAGCCTTCCAAGTAGCTGGAACTACAGGTGCGTGCTGCCACGCCCGGCTAACTTTTGATTTATTGTAGAGACAAGGTCTTGCCAAGTTGCGCAGGTGAGTCTCAAACCCACGGGCTCAAGCAATCCACTCGTCTCAGCCTCCCAAAGTGCTGGGATTACAGGCTAAGCCACTGAGCCCGGACAATATATACACATTTTTAAAGTTCTATTTGACATAGAAACCGTCTCTGAAGGATACGCTTCTCTTTAGCTAGAGCTGGTCTTAAAAATACTTATCTTTTTAAAAACTGTACAAAGCCGGGCTCGGTGGCTCAGCCTGTAATCCCGCGCCTTTGGGAGGCTGAGGTGAGTGGATTGCCTG